TGCTAATTTAAATTTTTTGTTATAACTTCATTATTCATCAAATATGGAAAAACATCTACCCAAAACTCTTCTGTTTTGGGTCTTCTTTACTGAGAATCTTTTAAATTTAAATGAGTGAAAAACGGAATAGCAGTATTCATTTAAACGTTAAAAAATGGGTTGTATTATTACATTCGAATCAAGGTATCGATTATTTGTTTTAAAGCTTCTAGCATTAAAAATGAAATAATTTTTTTTTTTAAAAAAAATTTATTGAGAATTCATTGTTTATTATGTTTGATATGTAAAAAATGTTGAAGTAATGCTTGAGCGCCTTGTATAAATGGTAAATCTTTGAAGAAAAAAGATGGGTTGTGTCTCGCTGATTTGTTCATCGAAATGGTAATTAATCCGATCCATTGAGTGAGGTGCTTGAGAACACCCTTAATCAATGGGTTGGAAGTGTGCCTGGAATCAAAATTTTAATTAGCGGAAAGTATTTTAACCGATTAAACGTTCTTCTTGTCATTAAGATAAATAAGAAACAGAGTGCTTTTACTCAATGTGATTGGCTAGTTATCGAGATCGTGCAACAAGTGGTATGATATTGTGAAATGCTGATATTAATTTTAGCCAATCAGCACAACTCTTTGATAGATGGCCTTTTTCATCACGATAATGAACTCGCTTGACCGACTAAACTATCTCTAGTTTATAACTCAAAGAAAAAATTTTAAAAAGTAAAAATGACCAGTGAATTTATCATTCCGGTCGACAAACTTTTTGACCCAAACTATCTTTTTATTAAAATTAGCATATCAAAACTATTAAAGTAAATAAAGTAAATAAAGTTATTGTTCAAACATTTTTATTTATCATTCTGATTATACGTATAATCGACAAAAGCTGCTCAAACACTGATTGAGGTCTTTACTTTTATCGTAGTATATAATTACAATTATATATAAAATCATGATATCAACATTCTTACCATTGATTTTGATCTAAATGCTATGAGAACAGCTAATTACGTAAAATGCTTGCGCGTTATTTCGATCACTAGACAATAATATCTAACTTGATGCTTAAGAACACCCTAAGTCCTTTATGCCCGAAATGATTAAACATGATTTATTTTTTGGACAGTCAAGATAATTTTCTTAGCCATAGAGAGAGGCGCTTGAAACAAGGTAAAATTCTGCCTCGATCCATTGAGTAGATGCTTGAGACCACTTATAATTAAAAATGTAAATATAATCTAGATATTTTATTCTTGTAAAAAGTTCGCTTTTCAATCGTAATAGGCTGTTAATTTCACGTGTAAATCTACAAAATCTAACCAATCAGCGCCGAATAAATAAGGTGACAGTATCGCAACTTTTTTACATTTCTCTTTTCTGTTCAAATACGAGAATGGCAACCAAATTAAACGAAAAAAAAGTGACAACCATGCCTCCCGAGATTGAGGCTTTAAGGTTAGCCGCACTTTCAACGAGGAATCCTCGAAAAGAAAAATCAAAAGCGGAGGAAAACGATTTTCATGTTGCAAATGTGTCCAGCTCTTCAAATTCACCTAATCTACAGCCAACATCTGTGAATCAAGCTACTGTTGAGGACGTCATGGTTGAAGACGACAACCGTTCCGAAAGGGAAGAGGGTGAATTAAGCGATTCTGATTCAATAAACGGTTGCAATGAACCTATTAAAGAAAGTGGTTTTCAGCATAGAAGTGAGGAAACCGTTACTAACGCCGCACATCAACAACAATCCTATCAACAGGCTTATTTAGGTATGTATTTAACTTTATATAAGCAAGAGGTTAGCGAAAATATTTTAAAGAATTCATGATTTCAAGTATGGTGTTTTTTTTTTTTTGACAAAGGTTCGATATTAATTTCCTGAAATATTTATTTTCGGGAAAAGTCTTTATATGATGGCTTTGATCTGTGTCATAGACTTTGGAATGTTGTCAGATCAAATAATTTCCTACACAATTTATTAATAAGACTATCCACAAAAAATTCTACATATCATCTTCTCATTAAATGTTTACATCAAAAAATTTTTAAATATATCCATTCATTCTTTTACAAATCTAGATTCAAAATATGCTGAAGAAGAATTAACGAGGAGATTATTATCTGACTTATACCGGTTGTCTGCCACACCCGATGACATAATTGAAGCTGGAATTCCTGTGGATGTTGTTATCAGATTTTCTCGTGAAATAAATTATCCGTTGCCTCCGCATCTTGCTGTATTTAGTATTCCCGTTCGTAAACCATTAACATCCACAGATGTACCCTCTCATGAAAATGCGAGTTCGAATATGATGATTAATTCAGCATCATCTCCATTTCAACAAAATAAGTCGTTTCCTACTTCAATTCCTTTGGTCTCCAACGACCAAGGTGTTTATCCT